ACTATCGTATATAAATATGAGCTTCTGTTAAATTCATACTCCACTACCATATAATAATGCCATCATAAATTGAAACATTTTGCAAAAAAAATTGTACAGACTAATTATTTGAAAGGAAAAATTGATACATGTAATTTTTTATTTGCAATAATTAATGAGTAATCAATTGATTTGAGTGTAATAAGAATTTAGATTGAGAATTTTTTTTTTAGTTTTTTATATTAAAAGGGGCCTCAAATTTATATTTTGAACAGGGGCCTCCAAATTTGTTAGACGGCCTTGATGTGATGCATATTACTCTATTGAGGATTAACACGGTACTAAATAACAGGTGTTGATTAAGATGTTGAATTGTTGATTTAGGCTCCAACAACACATTTAATTAAAAAAACATTTTGTCATCTGTTTACTTCATTTATACGAAATGTTTACAAGATATGCATAGCTGACAACCACATCACTAGTGAAAAACGCACCAAATGTTGGTTGGAAAACTATTCTGTATGCAGTTATGCACTAAACTTTAGAAGTGTATACCAAGTGTTCACACTGTATATATTGGATGTTAATTGTATTTAGTTAATTATGGGATTTTTGTGAACCATTGACAAGTGTGATCATAATAGTCACATCATACTTAAATGTTACAGATCCAAGGCAAATATTTCTAAGTATTACTCTAGTTGGAAGAGGTTTTACATAGTGAGGTATGCACCTTCCAAATCTGTTGCTTATGGTGCATTTCCATACTCCTCTGCCGAAGGATTCTCTCAGGAATGACATTTCGTGAAAGAGGCTTCACATTCTCGCCGAATCTATCATTACTTGAAAAATTGTGGGCATCGCAATTTCTTGAAGAGTAGTTGAACTCTGAGCTTTTGTTAATGATAGACTTTCTAGAACAGTATGCTTTCAAAAGAACATCTACACGGTCTTGCAATCCTTGTGGTAAGACGACCTATGAATTGTAAGAAGATCAACTCAAGATTCAATGAAATCAATGAAACACATGGGGAAACTACATTACCAGAAAAAGTACAAGAATGCAGAATAGAAGAATGAAATGCAATCAAGTCAGCAAGGAATTACCTCCCTCTGTGGACGCTTAGCATCCAGATCGGGTCGATATTGTGGTAATGGAACTTTACTAAAGACAACTGCTTTATCAAACTGGCGACTGCGATAAAATTGTGATTGAGATTATAAAAATCATTCTTTCAAAAAAAAAAAGATTATAAAATTATAAGGCGAGATTGCAAGAAACATAAAAATATTTAAAGCTGTTTGTATTTTTTGAGGCAAAAACTGTATGAAAAACATGTTTGTTATACATATGTAAGCCCATTCTTGTTGCCAGTGCTGATAGAGGTTCAAAATCACGACGATCCTTTCTCTCTCTTGAAATCAGTTCTTGCTCCTTTTCGTTACGCAATAGCATGGTTAGCTTCCACCTCCACTCTTCTATACGATCAACAGTTGAATCAGACTGTTATAATTTATAAAAACACCATTAAATCCAATCTGTAAAGAACAAAATTTATTTGGCATTTAACATCAAGAAAACTCAATAAAGTGCACATAAACGGTCAGGGGAAATTCTGTAATAATAAATAATCATGTATAAATATAATGCGAATATACTGACTATATTGCACTGCTTGTGCATTAAAATCGGTTGCTTCACAGTGATATTTGGCAATTGGCACAAATCATGGTCTTATATTTGTACGAGGAATAAGTACTTACCAGTATGCCTCAGAAAGACATGCAACGTACATCCAAAACTGGGAACAGTTTTTGCTAGTTTACCTCATTATAAGTATTACAGAAAGCGTTTCACATTTCTTTTGCTACGGGTTTCAATAACATTGTGTTGCAGGCTCATTGAAATTAAGTGTGACCAAGTCTTCAGCATCTATCTAGTCTCTATTGTATTTCCATGGGAAAATGTCAGAAAGAATATGTCGGTCGTTTTTAAGACTCAGTATTTGCTCCCAACTAGTTTTTATTCTCAATTGCTCTCTAGAGAAGCCGTGTAAAACACAGCAATATATTATCTTTTTTATTGCCTCAGCAAGCAAGGAAATGAATAAAAAACTTTATTCAATAGGCAAGCATGACCAAAACCGATATAAATAAAACAGAAGTTGATGTATTAAAGCTAAACACTTGCCAGCTGCTTGGACTCGTGCTCCAATTCCTGATCAGACTCTGATTCCGAAGGGTAATCTGGGTGTGCATATCGGCCAAACCCGAAATTCTGCTGATGAAAATACGGCAGAGAAAAAAAGGAAGCGGACATATTTCTGCGCAGTCCAAGTATAGCAGCTGGAGAAGACCCACTGCTGGCCGAAAACCATATACCCAAGTAGTTCGGGCGGTGCGTCGGTCTCGTGAGACGGCAAACAATAGGCCATTTTCTCAAATGAAAGCGGCGGTAGAGCTGAAGAGAGGACACAAAGGTGCTGGGAGAATACGCCATGGCCGTGGGCAGCAATGGGGTTGCCGCTGGCCTTAATATGAGACAATTGCTCATGAGGTTAACGTAGGCCATTGGTGAACTGAATTATGGGAACATTGTTACTTTTGTGCTTAGGGTTTTAGCAGATCAGGGGTTTTGGTAATACAGTAATACACCATAAGAGCACTATTCACTATTTAGGAGCTCATGGAATTTAGTACGCAGTAACTAGCTCTAGCCCTTTTGGGTACCTTTACCATAGCTCAGGAAATTAAGGAGTACTGCATATTTCTTTGGTCCAATTGAAAAAATCTCATGGAAAATATGAAGTTGAAATTACTGTAGAGTGTAGTATTATATTCATTTTGGTTAGGGTTTAGGCGCAATCCGCCCCACAAGTTAGTAAAACTCGCAATGTACTTGGTACGAAACGACAAATTAGTAAAACTTGCAATATACTCCGTTTCGCACTAATAGAATGTTTCGCACTAATATTTTAGAATTGTAATAATATTGGGCATTTAGTTATTTGGTCACTCATATTTTATAATTGATACTCCATATTTCTTATTTGTGTTGATATTTTTTTATTAATTATGGTATATTATCTATAAATATACTAGATATATGTGGGTATTGGCATGGCGGATAAACTAAAATTTAACTCCAAATGTACCAAAATAAAACTTTACAAGCGATTTAGTTATTAAATCACTTGCCAGCTCTATATATCGATTGTAATGAAAAACTTTTCTTTCTCAGAATGCGAATGTTAAATGTATATCTTGTTTTTGTGATGTGTGTTATATAAATCAGATAAATATGGTATGTGAACATTAAACGTTTTTTTTTTGGGCCTCCAAAGGGCTAGACCTGGCCCTATATATGCCTTTATAGTAATGAGTGTACCATTCAATTATATCAGAACAATCGCTCACTAAGACATCATCCTCACAATCCACCAATAATTGACATAACACAAAGGTCATCAACAAGTGTACTCTTGGCAAATTTGATTGAAGAAGAGAAGAAAATTTCTTAAATGATGTTGGCCTGAGTGATGCTAGAGATAAACCCTTGGACTTAGGGTATAATTTTATCAAGTTTTGACTTTGCGCACTCTTCTAATTATTACCTCCATTGCATTCACAAATTTAATTATGTACGTCAAAGTGCACTAGTAAATTCAACATGCTCTGGGATCTTTCTCACGGAAGAAGAATGGATAGGTGAATGAATAAGGACCAAACTCCTCTCAAGGAGATATATAAAATATTAAAGCAACCAACCTCCTTTAATTTGATGTTATTCATCAAATTACTACTTCATTTGATCAGCGAGAGATATTGTACGCGTCATTTAGCAATTTGTTTAGGAACCATCCTCACTACATAGAGAGATGGGAGCTTGACCTCTCATGGATGGTTGAGATTGTGACTCTCAATGTAGCGTACAAAATATGTGCTTGGCCCGAGTCTCATTTTTCGTTGTTTTATGTCTTTTCTTAAGCTTTTCACTTGCAACACACTTATTAGTTTGGAACTTTTAAAAAGATAACGTGAAAATTGTAATACCTAACTACCTATCACTTTCTTCTCATTTTAGTTACATTTATTGATAATATTATTCACGCGTCGAATCACTACGGTTATTGTGCTCGTTTATTATCCCTACCTCTAATGCGTACTATGTGCTCTACTTGAACAATAATAAGGATGTTTTTACTTTGACCAAAATTTGTTGGTATGATTTGTCTAAGTCTGACCTGGTCTGAACTGATCTAGTCTGATATGGTAAATGTCTGGTCTCTGTATATTTTATAAATATAGAAGTCTGGTCTGTTTAAGTCTGATCTGGTTTGAGACTGAAAACAATTAAAGTAAAAACTCTATAATTCTTATTCTCCACCCAACAAAAGTTCTAACTCTCTTCCAAGATTGTTTACAATCCAAGAGCTCAACATTCAAGTTTAAAGTATTCATCCCAAATGTGCTCCAACTTAACCCAAAAAAGTGTATTCATGAGTGTATAGTGTATCCTAAAATAAAATTCAACTTGGGTGATACGAGAACTCCTCGACAAAGCTTGTGGGGCACGGAAAGATGCGGATTCAAGTCAAAATACAATTCTATTTTTTCTTAATTTTCTCATTTATATTCCACCCCCAAAAATACATCAAAATCACAACTTGTGACATTTTATATGACACGGACATTTCAACTGTTGGAAGCTTTTAAATTCAAAATATTTCTTAAGCAGATTGAAATACTAAAATTAAGATTCATGCTTTGTTACATTTTTCAGCTATTTTTTTAATACGGTATCGAGGTGAGAAAGATTTAAACTCTACTGGATACATTTTTTTTCAAGACTTTTCAAATCACAATCTTTGACCCAAAAAGATTTTTGGCAACAAATTGATGTTTTTTAAACGACGAATTGGTTTAAATAAAAGTAAAATTTTAATTAAAAAAACTCTACTGGATACATTAATATGTTCAGGGTATTACATTCTAGGAAATGAATTGAATGAATATATAAATGCTGCACTTTCCTAAACAAATCACACGCATAATTTGTCAATTTATTATATCAACCCAAACTAACCGTTAGCCCTAACCCATAATTTCTCTCCTACAATCTGTGCTTCAGTTCTCCCACCGCAGTCTTGAAAGTGATGCTGCTCATCAGGGTGCGGTGAACTGCGGAACGCGGCTAGCATTGACGTCCACCGGCGGCCAAGCGAGTGTCTCTACCTGTAAAGGCTTTGCATTTCAATCATATTCGATCTACAACCAGCAGGGTTTTATCTCCTTCAAATCTCGGGCCAAGTTCATCTGGCGCATCCCTTCACTCCGGCCGCAGATCCCTCGCTGCTCTATTTGTCCGATTCCCATGTCGGAAGTGTTAGAGAGTAGTAAGAAAGTGGCGGATCGTTACCTGAAGCGCGAAGTTCTTGGGGAAGGTACATATGGCGTCGTCTACAAAGCTATTGACACTAAGGTAAGTTATTCACCCTAAACACCAATTCATCTGGACATTCTTTCCCTTTCAAATTTAAGGGTCTACTTATGCTTAATGTGATAGCGCACCGCTTAAATTGATTCTTTTTGCAATTCAATCGATATACATTTTAGCCTGGCTACCTAAAGAACGGTAAAGGAGAACACCATGCATACTTCTACACAGATCTTGGATACTCCTAAAATGTCAGGATTTAACTATGTAGTTACCTGAAAGATTTTGGACACATTCAGCTTATATTTCTTGCTTTGTTTTCCCAGCTTTTCCTTAACTTATGGACAAAAGTCTTACTATAGTTAATATGCATAGTCACTACAATCATGGCCACATAAGCCACTATGGTAGTCACTACTAAAGTATGAAAAGTTACATTTTTGTCCTATGCCTTTATTTAGGCCATACATTTTTTATTATTTCTAATCTTTGTTCGTTGTTTTAGTTAATCTTCTTTTCTGGTAGTAATTATGTTTTTTTAATCATTAACCAATAATCATCACAGCTGTTGTCTTTTAATCCTTTCTCCACACTATTGAACTATGCAGACCGGGCAGACAGTTGCTATAAAGAAAATTCGCCTTGGGAAGCAGAAGGAAGGTGTTAATTTCACTGCTTTGAGGGAAATCAAACTGTTGAAAGAGCTAAATGATCCTAATATAATTGAATTGATAGATGCCTTTCCCCATAAGGGGAACTTGCATCTTGTGTTTGAGTTCATGGAGACTGATATGGAAGCTGTCATCCGTGATAGAAATATATTTCTCTCACCTGCTGATATTAAGTCATACCTTCACATGACACTGAAAGGACTCGCGTTTTGCCATAAAAAGTGGGTCTTGCATAGGTAAGATTGCAAAAGAACAAGTTGCTTGTTTATGTTCTAATTTTATTCTGATTCATTGACTTTTTATTGTTCCTCAATTACAGGGATATGAAACCAAACAACTTATTAATTGGATCGAATGGGCAGCTTAAGCTTGCTGACTTTGGGTTAGCCCGTTTATTTGGTAGCCCAGATAGAAGATTCACTCATCAGGTATCACGTTTCTTACACTCAATTATGTTTCTTACTTTATTAATTAGAACCAAACTCATTAATCATAAGTTTCATATAAAGTCTAAAGAATATACATTTTAATTCGATTTTCAAAAACAACGGGAGTACAAGTTATGAAAGGTTCAGGAGAAAACATATTTATCGTAATTCGTAAATCTGTGTATGTGTATATATATCAATATATCATCTAGGCCTCAATTACCCCCCCCCCCCCCAAAGACCCATAGACATTCCGCCTTTTCTTTTGCCCACATTATATATCTTTACGTACCTTGTTTTTGTGAATGAGTAATGCTCTGGATGTACGTGTTCAAGTTATTTTTTATGTTTTAGGTCTTCGCCAGATGGTACAGAGCACCAGAGTTGTTATTTGGTGCCAAGCATTATGGACCTGGAGTTGATGTATGGGCTGCTGCTTGCATTTTCGCAGAACTGCTTCTTCGAAAACCCTTTTTGCAGGTGATTGTAAAAAAATATTCGATCTTTGATGTATTCATGATTATTCATTTCCACAATTGGCGGGTAACACTTATTTTAAAGGGCGAAGTAATCATAGGTTCCTTGTTTTTGCACTATTGTGTAAATATTCATTCATTTCCACTGCCTGTTTTTAGTGAGAAGTTGTTTATTAATTTTTCTCCTTAATAAAATAGTACTTGGTGTTAGTTACGGCAGTCCAACATAATCCGGTAAAACACTCTACTTCTGAAGAATGTCTACTCTGTTTTGGCACAAGTATACTTAGGTATTTTTAAAGTATGCATGCTCACCGCGTATTAAGGGGTACACTCGAGTACATGCCAAACATTTAATTTTGTGGTGTTGGTTTTTGGGTATGGTACAGGACCGGGTACATGGAATACCTTATATGTTTTTTTGCCTCAACCTTCCATTGAGCCCCACCCTAATCCTACTTTATACACGTGACTGATTTGAACAGTTCCACAGTATACATTTTTTCATTCTCTTGTATGCTCACTTATTTACCCCCTACAAATCCTTCTCATTATCCGTTGTTAGGGCTTGATTGGGGTTTGTATGTGGGGGTCAACCAATATATAGTGTTATATATAACATTTTTTTAATGTGTATATATATAAATGTACGTATTTTAATATACTAATGTTTATCTATATGTATATACACACAGACACACACATATAGACACATCTACATGCATTTGCGCCCGTGCCCGTGTGTATATACACATACACACATATAGTTTCACGTGTTCCTATAACATATTACAGGTGTAAAGAGGGTCTTAGCCCGCACACCCATAAGCACGTCTTTTTCCTTTCTATGTTATATCCTTTGGGCCGATCAGTGCTAGACTGTTACTATGGCTTCGCGGCTTTGCCTTTACTTTAGGACAGGCTTGCTGGCCCTGCTGAATATGCCTTGGGCTGCTCTGGGTTATGCCAATCTTGTTCAGTTGTTCCATGGTATCAATCCCCTCACAAGTCCCACACTTCCTGCTGTGTGAGACCCTCATGGTTTCAACACTAAGAATACAACATTCACAATCTTCTTTAGAACTCTGGACCCGGATAAGCCTGGTAGTGCCTACATAGAGTAGCCCGGCCTAGCCTCTCCATTAGTACACGCCTTTTTGTTGGATTATCCTGAACTAGCTGTTGTCCGAGTCCGTACATTATAGCCCTTATCAAGGGCAATCCATTGTATGTAGGAAATTTTGGCAGAAAAGTCCTGCTTCAGTGTCGCTGTAACACAGATGAAATTAATGGATAAATAATCCTATCATAATAATAATTCTCTGCTGCTTTTTGCGGAGATGAGTTCTTTATCTCTATTGTTCTATGCATATTTTTCTTTTCACATGCTTGTTTACATATTTCCTGATGTAGTTGATTAATGCTCATGGAATATCTTTAGGGGAACAGTGACATTGACCAGCTGGGAAAGATTTTTGCAGCTTTTGGTACCCCGAAGCCATCTCAGTGGGCTGATATGGTTTACCTGCCCGATTATGTGGAGTACCAATATGTTCCAGGACAGCCTCTACGAGCGCTCTTTCCTATGGCAAGTGATGATGCTCTAGACCTTTTATCTAAGATGTTTACTTATGATCCAAAAGCTAGGATTTCTGCTCAGCAAGCATTGGAACACCGGTTTGTTTTGCTAGCCTTGCTAATTTACTGAATCAGTTATCATCCAAACACAACTCAGCCTTTACCTTTGATTTTAGGTACTTTTCATCGCTCCCTCCACCAACTGAGCCAGCTTTGCTCCCAAGACCTCCACCGAAGAGGGATCCAGGCAACCCCAAAGCTTCAGATCATATTCCACAAGATGGACCAGTTGTATTTTCTCCACCGCGAAAGTCAAGGAGGGTGATGCCCACTCGTGAGGGATTTGAGGGAAATGCCCCAAAACTGGATAATGCAGATGGCGGCCATGGAAATGAATTTAGACAACCAGCTGGTGAGCAGCAAGCTCCTACGTCCTTGGATTTCTCTGTCTTTGGGATGAAGCCGCCTTCTCGACCAACAATTAACAGGTAAATGATGTATACTTTTTTCTAACCACTAGAGGTCTAATTTATACCTCTATGTTGAATGATCTATTTGAATGGATTGTTGTAGCAATGGGTGGTCTGCACCTTGTATACTTAAATTAAATGCCTTCAAATCTGCAATGTGTTGTATTTGTTGTGTGCAGTGCTGACAGATCACATTTAAAAAGGAAACTGGACCTCGAATTCCAACCGGAAGATTGAACTTTTATATGCATCCCTTGTGAATATGTTACCGCCTGCATGGAGATGCAACAGTTTCCATGAGGTTGATTCAGGACCTTTTTTTTTGGGTTTGGGTTTTTATGTTCTTTACGTTATTATTATTTCAAAGTACTCCGTATTAAAATTTGCAATTCATTTGCAGTTCAGAGTCCCGAGTTGCTGCCATTGTAAAAGTGTGTCGATTTAACAAATTCATTCATTCCTGTTTCAAATGTCATGTTTCATACTTGAACTTACCCCGTGGCCTGTCGAAAGGTCCAAAATTGAAGTTGCAGGTATAGTTATTGATCTCGATTTCACAAAGTGATAGTTGTATTCAGAGTAAACGATTATGTGATTATTGATTGTGTGAATTCATTTGTTGTTTCTATATGTACTTGGTACACATCAATGGTTAATGTTAAATTCTCTTTGATATTCCGTTATTTTTTTGCGGTCATCGTTATGACAAGGTTTTTGGGTGGTGCTGATGAATGATGAGTCTTTCGAATCTTGAAGAATATCCGAGAAATTGCAATCTATAGTTTTATACGTAGTATAGTAAAACTCAGTTTTAAAAAGCTGACATTCTTATTGGTTAACAACTAATTTATTAAAACACTATATTTAATGCGGCAGATAATAATAGATAATGGGCAGAATAATCAGATAGATAAAACTAATCGTATGCTAAAAATTAGCTTCAAGTGTTTCAACCATCCGGTTAATACGGACAACCCAATTATACTACATTAAAAATTAAATTTAAAGTGGCACAACATAATACAAATAATTAATTAACTCTCTGGAGGGATGAAGTCGTGCATAATTTGGAGCAAGAGAAGAAAAAAAACTCTTTTTTTAAAGCGATATAAGTATATAACACTTATATTTATAATCCAATTTTTACAAAAAAATATATCAAAATCCATATTTTTTATGATCTATCATATGACACCAATATTATATATACATACAAAATAAAAGATTTATCTATTATTTTATATATCAAAAGTGAGTTAAAAGTTCTATTGATTAACAAAAAAAATTATTATCACTGCTACTATAACATTTAATTCATATAATTTGACTCAGTTCATCATTGTTATTCACTACATGCATCACTGCTCATTCGGATAAAGGGAATGAAAAAAATCTTTTTAATGTATTATACTCCGTATTTATCCGTACTCCAATTTTTATCATAATTATAACGAAATTTATAAATTTTAGGCTAAAAGGTTAAATAGGTCCTTGAACTGACTTAAAGTGTTCAATTAGCCCCTTGTATAGGAGGTTCTGCCCGTCTGTCGCCAATTGGGGCGGTTCCCGATAGACTTTTTTTTTATGATTTTTTTTAAGAATCTTCTTCATTAAGTCTAGTTTACTCATACCAAATTTCAGCTAAAAATTCAACCGGGAAGACAGTCAAATGATTTTTTGAAGATAACTGCGACGTTAAACATCGCAGTACATTTCAGAAAATCATTTGACTATCTTCCTGGTTGAATTTTTAGCTGAAATTTGATATGGGTAAACTAGACTTAATGAAGAAGATGCTAAAAAAAATTTATCAAAAAATTCCACTGGGAACCGCCCCAATTAGCGACGTCCGGACAGAACCTCTTATATAAAGGGCTAATTGAACACTTTAAGTCAGTTCAAGGGCATATTTGACCCTTTAGCCTAAATTTTATGATCTTTCATTTGACACCAAGCTGCATATACAAAAAAAACTATTGTAAAAAATGAGTTGTAAATCAATGATATGCAAATCAAATTTATAGTAAAATTTGAGTTTAAATGTGCATTATGGGAAGTGCATATTTACCCAATAGTGGTAACACATACAAGTAATCCAATTTTACTTAAATATTCAAATTTATTTGTTTTATTTAGTAAAACAGAGTTACAAATCACCGACATGTCATTCTGTTATCGTTAACATAAATTCTATTATCATTATTATGAAAACATTTAGTTAGTTCCTAACAAAAAGGAGATGGAACATCTATAATGGAAAAGGAGAGAAAAATAGGAGGAAAAACGTTAAATAACTAACATTTGACATAATGTAGACTCCACGTACACATTAAAACATTTAATTAGTTTGGAGATGAAATGGCTGATAGAAAAGTCTAGAGAAAAAGTAGGAGAAAAAACGTAAAAACATATCCTTAGAAATTATACTAGAAAGACAAAAAGACAAAATAGATTAGACCAAAACATACAAACCAGATTATATTAAACCAGAAAATTGAGACCAGGCCAGAAACACTCAGATCAAATCAGAAAAATGATCGCCCTAATTCAACTGAAAGCCAATTGTTTTGAAGTTTATTTTAAAATTTATTATTTCAACTTTGGATCTTGTGAATAATTCACAATACCTATTAATATTTTCCATTTTAACTCATATCAAATCGAGCTTTCAAAAAAAAACTCATATCAAATTGAGGCGCTGCCGAGGCATTGCCCCGGGCTTTACACTAGTTTGCAAGGTAAATCAAAGAATACCATTTTATTTTGAGAACCATGGAAACTATTGAAAAAGAAATACACCGCAATACCGCACTCAAAATAAATGAGGATGAGTTATTTTAATTTCCATCATTTGAAATGAAGCAAAAAACTCATTATTTTTTAGCTTGGGAATATGTAAGAATAAAGCAAAATGACTCACTAAACTGTCTGCGTTTCTTTGTTATGAAACAGTCGTCAGTCTATGCAATTTTCGACGCGATTTTCACTATGAGTCATCCAGAAAGAGTCTCTCTGTACTTTAGTACAACGATAAGGCTGCGTACATCCGATCCTCCCTTACCCCACCTTAGGTTGAAGCCTTTGCGGCATTGGAGTAATGAAGAAGAAGATGATTGAATTTCAGCAAGAGATTTGTTTTATTTTTAGTTAGGTTCCATATAGTTTTTTCTTTATTTTATAAATAAAATTTATTTTAAATATTTTTTCTTAGTGCAACATATTTAGACAATTTAAATGCTTTAATAAGAACTTTGTTAGATTCAAGATGTTTTTAACTTTTTATTGGACTAAAATTATCTGGCCATTTTCACACTTAGCTTATTAGTTTATTTAATTTTCTGGCTATTTTCACACCGGAAATTAATAAAATTTTAATCATTGTTTATTTTTTAAAAACGGAAAATATGTAAATGTAAATATGAATAAAGAAAAATAATAGAAAATCATAAATTGGTAACACAACTGAGAAAAATAAATCAAAAAATGAGTATAAATATTTTATTTAACTTCAATATGTTTGTATAATTTTCGCAGTTGTTTATACATGTTTACAAATATTTAGTTTGGAAATTTATAGAAATATTTCTTATCTTTTGAAAATTGAGAGTTGATAGTCGGAATTAAAATAAAATGTTCACATATAGATGAGATTATATAAAGCTTACGCATAGTTCACATTTAAAATTAACCTGCAAAATTAACGGTTTCGAAGATGGCCCCTATAATTCGGATCTCTCAGGAATAATTGATAGTTGGAATTATTAACGGCGGATCAACAATAATTAGTATTATTATTTTCAATTTTTCCTTAATTAAATATCTGATTTCGTAATATAATATTTCTATCCATGAGTAAACGATCACAAATATTTTTTTGTCATGCTTTTTTAAAGGATGTGATCATTGTTTACAATTAATGTGATTATTGATGGTGTGAATTCCTCTATTGTCAAAGTTGTTTGTTTGTCAATGGCCAAAAGCCCAAAATATCCGGACAAAACTTTCTGAACATTAGGAAAATGGAGTGTTATTTTTATTTTTAAGAATAGCAATATACGGAGTATATTGAGAACCATGAAGATAAATAGAGGCAAAAGATTTCGCAATATATAACCTAGATTAAATTTGGTATTAAGTGTGATTAATATATATAACCTATATCCAAGTACATTCACATGCTCACATGCACACTATTTTATAAAGTTGAACAAAATCATAGTCATGGGCACACTATTTTCAGTCCGTATCTTCCTTGCCCTGTTCATTCGCGAGGCATATATCATAGTCCGAAGGATTCCTCCATTTCTAATTTCCTCCAACCTCTCCTATGATGCCTATTGAGTGCTGATTGCAACACCCATGTATTCCAAGAAAGTCTTAGGATGGGCCATTGATAGACGTTGTCCTCCATGGCTTGGAGCTCCGACCCTTATTTTCTGGCGGCCATGGCCTCGGCGAAGATCGTCGCCAAGCCGCCCTTGTCTTTTAGGACAGAGTTTTTTGCTCCCAAAATGAACTGATTGTTAAAGTCAATAATACCTAATCTGAAACATGTGGAATATGTAGTTTGCATTTCATGTGCTCGTTTGCCTTGGCTAGTATTTGATTGCAGCTTTCCACTCTCAATGGTTTGGGAGTAATTGGCTAAAGTTGAGAGATGAGTTAATGGAAAGATGAGTTAATTTTAGTATTGGCAGGAGCTCTCAATTTTTTTTATATTAAAATTGAGTTGATTTTAGTATTGAGTTAAAAGTTAATTGTAGTATTGACGGATAAGTTAATCAACAGATAAATTAATTTGGCAGGAGCTCTCAATTTTAAAATTGACAGGAATTAAAATTGAGAGGAGCTCTCAATTTTAGTTAAAATTGAGTTAATTTTAGTATTGACAGATTAATTAGTTAATTTTAGTGTTGACAGATGAGTTAATTGACATGAGTTAAAATTGACAGGAGCTCTCAATTTTAGTATTTGGCTAAAATTGACAGATGATTTAATTTGCAAACCGTAAGTATAAGTTTGGGAGTAATACTTAACTTTGAATTATCGGTTAACCGGCGGTATTTAATTTCAAAATCGTAACCGTATCATAACCGTTTTTTCTATCGGATGGTTAACTGTACCGCATGATTTTAAAAATACGGTACGGTTAACCGATAAAAACACCGGTTTTTCGGTTATTTAACACGGGTAAACGGTTATGGTTTTTCTTGCCCACTCCTACTAGAGGCAGTGTTGGACTCGCAAGTTTCACAAGTTAACCGGCTTTGAGTTCACGTTAAGCATGTAGATATTCCGATTCTAGGTCTAATTCTGAGCGCATCTAGACAATTACAAATAGGAACATTTAATTTTTTAAAATAAAAGACATGCATGATCAAGATTGGTACTTGGAGACTCTTTTAAATGGGAGTAAAGTGTAACACCGTTTCTGAAATAGGAATTTTGTTGTTTTGATCTCAAAATTGGATACATCAATTTTATCCAAAATTCCTGTATTGGATTCATTAAAAATTGCTACTACAGTCCACCGAATAAAAAAGTCATTTTTTATTCATTATCTTTATTTTAGTTATATATTAGTGATTTTTATTATTTTTAAAAGATATCCCCATGTAAATAATCGGGAATACTCAACTTAAAACACACCAATACACCATTGTTATTTTCTCCAAAACTATAGAGCATGCATGAAGTTATTTTCAAAACTACCAAGTCTT